CAAAAAAAAAAAAAAAAAAAAAAAAAAATCCATTGCCTGGTGCAGTGGCTCATGCCTGTAATCCCAGCACACTGGGAGACTGAGGCAGAAGGACTCTTGAGCCCAGGGGTTCAGGACCAACTTGAGGAAAACAGCAAGACCCTGTCTCTCTAAAAAAAAAAATTAGTATTAGGGGAAAAAAAAAAAAAAAAAAGGTCAGGTGCAGTGGCTCATGCCGGTAAGCCCAGCACTTAGGGAACGGGAGAGGCAGGCGGACTGCTTGAGCCCAGGAGTTCAAGACCAGTCTGGGCAACATGACAAGACCCTGTCTCCACAAAACATACCAAAAAATTAGCCAAGTATGGTGCTGTGTGCCTGCAGTTCCAGCTACTTAGGAGGCTAAGGACAGAAGATCACCTGAGCCCGCAAACTCAAGGCTGCAGTGAGCCATGATTGCTCCACTGCACTCCAGCCAGCCTGGGCAATGGAATGAGACCCTGACTCAAAAAAACAAAAAAAAAATTCCAAACAACACTCGGCCACAGATAATTTTGTTTCCCTTATCTAGATAAAACAGGGGCTGAGACCTAAGTTTACACAGCTTGTGGGTGGTGGAGGCGGGCCAGCCTCCAGAGTCCTCATTTAGCCCAGAATAGAAACAAGGTCAAAGCCCTGGAAAGTGACTCCCAGGGGGAAGCCTCACCCAGCAGCTGCCTCTCAGCAAGAAAACAAAAGTACAAGTTCAAGTTCACCGGCCTGGGAAGTAAAAGACAAGACAGCGGCCTAGGAGGCCGGGCTTCCCTTCCCTTCCTCGGGCTCTGCGGTCCCTCAGACCAGCAGCTGGGCAGAGTCAAACCTGACAGCGGCCAAGGGAAAGAACAGCAAGTAGGGAGGACCAGCGGGAGATGGGACGGCGGCCGCTTCCAGAAACCAGAACCAACACACATACCGTTTTTCACAGGCAGCCGCTCGATGCTGTCGGGTTCCAGCTCCTCATGAGACAGAAAGATCCTCAGGCGTTTGAGAGAGACACTCGCCTATACAGAGAGCAACGGCAGGGGGAGTTACTTTTGAAACAAACCTAAGCTAACTTTCAGGGTTTCCCTAGGTGTGGCGGGGCACACATCCTTCCTTATTTCCGAAGGCCCCACACTTCTTAGACCAGCGTACACTTTAGAACAACAACAAAAAAAAAGAAACAGGTTTTCATTCTTCTTTCTTTTGCTTTAAAACCCCACAAAAGGTATTTCAGAAAAAATGGGCAAATGGCTGGGCACGGTGGCCCACACCTGTAATCCCAGCACTTTGGGAGGCCGAGGCGGGCAGATCACCTCAGGTCAGGAGTTCAAGACCAGTCTGGCCAACATGGTAAAACCCTGCCTCTACTAAAAAAACATGTAAAATTGCCCAGGCATGGTGGTGTGCACCTGTGCTAGTCCTAGCTACTCAGGAGGCTGAGGCAGGAGAATCACTTGAACCTGGAAAGGGGGAGGTTGCAATGAGCCAAGATCATGCCACTGCACTCCAGACTGGGCAACAAAATGAGATTCCATCTCAAAAAAAAAAAAAAAAAAAAAAAAGTAAAGAAGAGAAGGGCACAGGCCTGGCCTGGAGGAAAAGGGACTCTGGAAACATAACAGCAAATGCAACAGATCTGATTCCAGCAGCCCAATGGGACAGGCATTTCTGAGAGACTCCAGAAAAAACAGACAGGGGCTGAGTATTATCGTAAAAAATTATTGTTAATTTGCTTAGACATGACGATGGTGGTGTACTTACAAAAGAAGAAATACAGGCTGAAGTATTTACGGGTGGAATGTAAGGGGTCTGGGATTTGCTTTAAAATTTTTCAGCAAAGAAAGAAGGAAGGAAGGAGCAGAGTTCAGCATTTAAAAAAACGAATCTGAGTGATGTGTGCACGGGGTTCATGTTGTATGATTCCTTTTCTATTTTTCTTTTTTTTTTGGAGACTCTGTTGCCCAGATTGGAGTGCAATGGCATAATCTCAGCTCACTGCAACCTCCACCTCCTGGGTTCAAGCAATTCTCATGCCTCAGCCTCCAGAGTAGCTGGGATTACAGCCATCCACCACCATGCCCGACTAATTTTTGTATTTTTAGTAGAGGCCCATGTTGGCCAGGCTGGTCTCGAACTCCTAACCTCAATAGATCCACCCAAGTCAGCCTCTGAAAGTGCTGGGATTACAGGCATGAAACACCATACCTGGCCTTTTTTTTTTTTCTTTCTTAATACCAGCTTACAAGCTTCAAGCTATTCTACTTCTGTGTACATCTGACATTTTTAATAATAAAAAGGGCATCTGGTTTTTGACAAAGTAAACAATCAGCTATACTATCAAATTTTAAGGTTGATTTGTCTATGTGGTTGAAACAGAGTTTTCAAAATGGATATGTGCAATGCTCAGGCAAAGAATGTGAAAACAGTGCAGAAAAGTGACAGGAGCTTCCAAGAGTGCCCAACTGTGACAAAGCAGTAAGCTGCCCCTCCTTACATAGTCACTGGCATGAATTTTAGAGATTCTACAGGGTCTAGATTGGTTTTTGTTTTTTTAAAAAAAAAAACAGAGTCTTATTCCCTTCACCCAGGCTGGAATGTAGTGGTGTGAACACGACTCACTGCAGCCTTGACTTCCTGAGCTCAGGTGATCCTCCCACCTCAGCCTGCTTAGGAGCTACGAGTACAGGGGCACACCACCATACCTGGCTAATTTTCCTTTTTGTATAAACGAGGTTTCGCCATATTGCTCAGGCTAGTCTCAAACTCCAGGGCTCAAGAGATCCACCTGCCTTGGCCTCCGAAAATGCTGGGACTGCGGGCGTGAGCCACCATGCCTAGCCGTAAGGTTGGGGTTTTTCTTTTTTGTTTATGAGACGGAGTTTTTGCTGTGTCACCCAGGCTGGAGTGCAAGGGGATGATCTCAGCTCACTGCAACCTCCACCTCCTGGATTCAAGCGATTCTCTTGCCTCAGTCTCCCAAGTAGCTGGGATTATAGGTGCCCACCACCATGCCCGGCTAATTCTTGTATTTTTAGTAGAGAGGGGTTTCACCATCTTGGCCAAGCTGATCTCAAACTCTTGACTTCAGGGGTAATCCACCCACCTCAGCCTCCCAAAGTGCTGGGATTACAGGCGTGAGCCACTGCGCCCGGCCATAAGGTTGGGGTTTCTCAAAGTGTGGGTAGGCAAGACCTATCAGTGGGCTGTAAAATCAATCAAGTCAAACAAGAACTACTTTTTGAAAAAAAGGATAGGAATGGAGGAGGAACAGAAGAGAACAGAGCACTTCAAAAAGAGTGCTCCAGAGCATGGGAAAGCCTTGCTGTATTCAATTTGTTTTATATACTCAAGTGCAAGCTCTCTGTCAAGAAGTCAAATGCGTTTTCCTTCTTTCAGGCATGACCAGACAAAAGCATGGCAGCCTTGGTCCAGGCCTCGCAGAGCCAGATATAGAGTGCGGTCTAGAGGCTGCACTCTGGGGAACTTCCATGCTTCTGTGGCCTGGAACCCCCTCTCTGAAGTCGCCCCATCTTCCCCCTGTACCTGCACGATGCTGCTGATGACCATGGGGAGAATGTTCAGGGGAAACCGGAGGATATTGAACAAGGCCAAGGACACGAAAGCTTTCTGGGCATCCAGGATGTTCTTCTCTTCAACGGTCACGTAGACAGCAAATGTGCAGAGGGCCACCTGCAAGCACAACGCCCAGTGCTTACTGCTATGCCCAGAGTGCGACATCATCCAGGAGCAGCAGCAGGTCCTGGGGACAGGCTTGGGCCCTCCCCAGGTGGCCACAACTGGCCAGCTGCTGGAGCTCATGGAAAAGCCTGGGGCAGTAGCTAGCACATAGCAGGTGCTCACCAAACACTTCGGGAGTGAACTGGATAAGTGAACGACCAGGGGCGCAAAGACCTGGCCTCACGCATCAACATTCTCAGCCATGTCCCAGAGGGGCGCAAACCCACCGCCAGGCCTTTGCCCCTGCAGTTTCCTCTGCCTGAAACCATCTTCCATCCAGGTGGCCACTGGGCTCCTCCCTCTCACCATTCAAAGGAGCTGCCTCTCCCACTCTACCCAAACAGCCCTGCCATCTGGCCATCAACCCGTGTATTTTCAGGGTCTCGGGACCGCCATTTCATTGTTACTTCCTGGAAGATCATACAGCTTAAAAATAAAAACCATATGCTTTGCCGTGTATCCGCTGTGGGACTCTAGTTATTTCACCTCTCCACACCCTGTTTTCTCATCGATAAAATGCGAGTCGTGATACGCTTTTAAGGGCAGCTGGCACTTACATAGTGTGCTTATTAGCCAGGGCCCAAGCTCAGTAAAACTCAACAGGTGGCAGCTGTTTTTACTTCTTGTTACAGGATTCGGTCCAAATTCCTTAGATCATTCTTCCAAGGAATCCATTAACCTGGTCCCATGAGTGAGAGCTGGGCAGGCAGAGCTGGTTCCTGTTGTGGCTCTGACATTAACAAGACAGATGACGCTAAGGCATGGATCAGTAATTTTCCAGGCTCCAATGCCAAGAGGAGGCAAGGTGCTCGAAACGATAGGGATAGACATTCCCTGGGTGCAGTGGTTCGATCATCGCTCACTGCAGCCTCAAACTCCCAGACCCAAGAGTACTTCCCACCTCAGCCTCCTCAGTAGCTAGGACTACAGGCGTACACCACCATGTCTGGCTCGTTTTTTTATTTTTGTAGATACAGGGTCTCCCTATGTTGCCTAGGCTGGTCTCAAACTCCAGAGCTCAGGTGATCTGCCTGCCTCAGCCACCTAAAGCGCTGGGATTACAGGCATGAGCCGCTGCACCCATCCTGGCTCCCATCTTCTAAGCGGTAACTGCACACTGGAATCTTACTTTTTTTAAGACACAGTCTCATTCTTTTGTCCAGGATGGAGTGCAGTGACACAATCACAGCTCACTGTAACCTCAGCCTCCCAGGGTCAAATGATTCTCACGCCTCAGCCTCCAAGTAGCTGGGATTACAGGCACGTGCTACACCATACCCAGCTAACTTTTGGTATTTTTCTTAGCAGAGATGGGGTTTTGCCATGTTGGCCAGGCTGGTCTTGAGCTCCTGGTCTCAGGTGATCCATCTGCCTTGGCCTCCCAAAGGGCTGGGAATACAGGTGTGAGCCACCATGCCAAGCCCAAAAATCCTCTACTCAAAAGTGTCTACATGTATCTACATGACAGAGTATTCAGCCACAAAAAGGAGTGAAATTCTTATACATGCTGAAACATGGATAAACCTTGAAAATATCATGCTGAGAAACCAGTCACATGGTCGGGCGTTGTGCCTCACGCCTGTAATCCCAGCACTTTGGGAGGTCAAGGCAGGCAGATTACCTGAGGTCAGGAGTCCAAGACCAGACTGACCAACATGGAGAAACCCCATCTCTACTAAAAATACTAAAATTATCTGAGCATGGTGGCACATGCCTGTAATCCCAGCTACTCAGGAGGCTGAGACAGGAGAATCACTTCAACCCAGGAGGCGAAGGTTGCAGTGAGCTGAGGTCATGCTGTTGGCACTTCAGCCTGGGCAACAACAGCAAAACTCTGTCTCAAAAAAAAAAAAAAAAAAAAGAAACCAGTGAGAAAAGGCCACCTATTGTTTGATTCCATTTATATGAAATGTCAAGAGTAAACTAACATAGAGAGACAGAAAGCAGATGAGTGGTTGCCTGGGATGGAATGCAAGGCTTGGGGAGCAAGTGCTAAGAGGTACAGGGCTTGCTTTTGGGGTAATGAAAATCCTGGAATTATCAGTGACTGTCACACCACCCACACAAAACGCCACCCACACAAAATGCACTGGGTGACTGTCACACCACCTACACAAAACCCACTGGGTGACCATCACATCACCCACACAAAACCCACTGGGTGATCGTCACACCACCTACAGAAAACCCACTGGGTGACCGTTACACCACCCACACAAAACCCACTGGGTGATCGTCACACCACCCACACAAAACCCACTGGGTGACATCACACCACCCACACAAAACCCACTGGGTGACGTCACACCACCCACACAAAACCCACTGGGTGACCATCACACCACCCACACAAAACCCACTGGGTGACCATCACATCACCTACACAAAACCCACTGGGTGACCGTCACATCACCTACACAAAACCCACTGGGTGACCGTCACACCACCTACACAAAACCCACTGGGTGACAGTCACACCACTCACACAAAACCCACAGGGTGACTGTCACATCACCTATACAAAATCCACTGGGTGACCATCACCACCTACACAAAACCCACTGGGTGACCATCACATCACCTACAGAAAACCCATTGGGTGACCGACACACCACAAACACAAAACCCCCTAGGTGACTGTCACACCACAAACACAAAACCCACTGGGTGACCGTCATACCACCTACACAAAACCCACTGGGTGACTGACACACCACAAACACAAAACCCACTGGGTGACTGTCACACCACCCACACAAAACTGGGTGACCCTCACACCACCTACACAAAACCTACTGGTGACCATCATATCACCTACACAAAACCCACTGGGAGACCATCACACCACCCATACAAAACCCACTGGTGACCATCACACCACCCACACAAAACCCACTGGGTGACCGTCACATCACCTATATAAAAAAATCACTGAATTGCATACTCTGAAATGGTCAATTGTATTTCCATTATAAAAAATAAATTTGGATGGGCATAGCGGCTCCTTCCTATAATCCCAATGCTTTCAGAGGCTGAAGAGTGAGGATCACTTGAGGCCGGGAGTTTGACGCTAGCCTGGGCAGCATAGCAAGACTGTGTCTCTACAAAAATTTTTTTTAAAATAAGCTAGGCGGCCGGGCGGGATGGATCATGCCTGTAATCCCAGCACGCTGGGAGGCCGAGGCAGGCAAATCACTTGACGTCTGGAGTTCAAGACCAGCCTGGCCACCAGGGCAAACCCTGTCTCTACGAAAAATACAAAAATTAGTTGGGCGTAGTGGCATGTGCCTATAATCCCAGCTACTCAGGAGGCTGAGGCAGGAGAATCAGTTTAACCTGGGAGATGTAGGTTGCAATGAGCCAAGATCGTGCCACTGTACTCCAGCCTGGGTGACAAAGCAAGACTCCATCTCAAAATAATAATTAATAATTTTAAAAAGTCAAGTGTAGTGGCGTGCCACCTATAGTCCTAGCTACTAGGGAGGCTGAGGCAGGAGGATCACTTGAGCCCAGGAGGTTGAGGCTGCAGTGAGCTGTGACTGTGCCACTGTACCAGCCTGGGCAACAGAATGACACCCCCATCTCTAAACAAGTCATTTTTTAAAAAGTACCTCTCCAAGTCAACCTATTTTTTAGTGCAGAAGTCAAAGTCCCGACTCAGATCCCAGGGCCCAGTTGATTTGTAAAGTCCCTTCCCTGGACCTCATCTGGCCTCATTTCACACTCTCCCCTCACTCCCACTGTTTCAGCCTCCACGGCTGTCCCATCTAGGAACGGGCACAGGACTGCCCCGGGCGTTTGCACACACTCTTGCCACTCCCTGGTTGGCCTCTTCACCGCCATCAAGTCCATACTCAAGTGTCACCTTCTCAGCAAGCTTGGACCACCCTACTTAAAACTGCAAGCCGTCCCTGTTAGAAAGACCTGACTCTTTTTCTCTAGCACTTAGGACGGCTTTCTCTGGCACTAGATGTATTCAATGTGCCTATTGTTTCCCGTCTGTGTCTCCCAGTGAAAATAAATGTTCCATGACTGGAGATTACTACCTGCAGTCTTCACTGCTATACTGTCAGAGCCTGGGACAGAGTCCTGATCATGGTACTTGGTGAATGTCTGCCGGGTAGATGATAGATGGGTGGGAGTGGGTAAGATAGGGGGAAGGGGTGGATGAATTTTCCTGAGGACAGAGAGCACATCAGAGGTGTCTCTTCAGCAGTGAAGCAAGCCAGGTCTCAGCCATCTCACCACCAAAACGTACCAGTCCCCTTGGTGACCCAAGGACCAATCGATGCCGGCTTCTGGCAGCACAGGGCGCACACAGAAAGGGGACAGAACATCACACAACCCTTTTCAGGTGCACAGCCCTGGCTTCTCCAGAAGGAGGTCATTTAGCCATCTGACCCTCGGTTATTAACTGAGCACCTACTATGTGCTGGGGACTGACGCAGGCTTTGCAACCCCGAGACGCAAAGTCTAGTGGAAGCACAGGCTTTAACCAAGTTCCCTACAGGCAGTGTTTGAAAATTGCAGAGGCTGGTAGGACAGGCACTATGATTGGGGCTCCAGGCAGATGGAGACTGGTGTTTGCAGCAGCTTTGTAATAGGCGAGGGTTGAGGGTGCAAAAGTCCTTCATACACAATGAAGAGCAACTGTGCCCTTTTCTGAGAAATGGGGAAAATCAATGAATAGAACACCTACACTCCAGCCCCCCACCAAAAAGCCTGACGCCCTGTGTGCAGATGGCTGCTCTTACTGCCTGCCTGCCATCTACTGCTCTGTTTATGGTAATATGCGATTTTCTCTGGGGGAACTTCTCCCAGTCTCAACCTAGGAGCTTCAGCCACAGATGAACTTCCTCCCTCACCCCTCACCTTGGCCCCAAGCTCTAAAAGACATGAGCCAGCCCTGGCCGACCCAAGCATCCCAACTCCCCAGCCTCAGTGATTGATTC